ACACTCACACACAGACACACTCACTCTCTCACACACAGACACACTCACTCTCACACAGACACACTCTCTCTCACACTCACACACAGAGACTCACACACACAAACACACAGACACACTCTCTCTCACACACACACACTCACTCACACACTCTCTCACACACTCTCTCTCACACACTCACACACAGGTCTTCCACCAGGTGTCTTCAGACTCATCTGGATCTGTTTCTGGGTTTAGTGTGTGTATTATGTGTTATTGATGATATATAGAGCACTATTTATTAAGAAAATCACCCCATTATTCATATTTAATTAATTTATTCACTTTTTCAAACATTTTTATGAATTATTAAATTTTTTAGTAAGTTTTTTAATATGTCAATTGTGCATTTCTATTATAATTATTCAAATTTGTATTTTATTTTAAAATTATTTGTCAAAATGTAACATTTTTGTGAATTTCATTTTAAGTATTTTTAATGTTCTTATTTTAAATGTTTAATTTCTATAAATAATTTCATTTTTGTTATATTTTATTTGTTTTTATTTTTTTATTATTTATTCAAATTAAATATGTTTATAAAATATTTCATTTTAGTAAGCATTTTAATTATTTTTATTTTAAAACTATTTACATGTATACATTTTTATGAATTGTAATTTCATTTTTTGTGTGTATTTTAATTTTAAAATTAGTTATTTAAATTTTACATATTTATGATTTAAGTAATTATTTGCTCCCATTTTGAGAAACCCTGCTCTGCAACATTTCACATAAGAAATATGAAAAATCAGTGTAACTGAACTCAAACCTAATTGCAACCAAAAACCAAGAGTCCTGAAGTCTCTAAATATGTCAGTTTGGAAATGCGTGGCTTTATTTGATTGGCTGCTCATCAGTGATTTTCCTCTGGACCAAAGCTGTGAGTTACTGTACTTTATAATGCAAATGATAATCCTGAGAATGTGCTGACAATAAAAGCAGCTTTCAGACAATCTGAAGTGTCTTACAGCGATTCAACTGCCATGAAAGGAGCTTTAATTCTCTAATGAGACAAATATTGAAATCTTCATCAGTGGAGAAAAATATTAAATATTAAAAGCACATCAATGGAGGCAAACTCCAGCACACTGGTATTCATATTTCTTCCTCTTTACTGTGGCACAAAAATAATTAATTATTCAGATGCTCAAAAGCAATCTCATATGTTTCATCTTTTAATTCTAAAAAAGACGCTCATATAACAGAAAGTTTTTGTTTGTTCAGAAGCAAAAGATGATGCTCTGATCAGCGTTATTAATATCAGACGTGCAGCAGCTCATTGTTTGATTGTGCACACTAATGAAGAGTCTGTGTAGAATTGATTAAACTCCTCTGTGAAGTTTTAGTGAAGTGACAGTGAGTTGAGGAAACATTAAATCAATGTTGAGACAATTACGTCAGAAATCCAGGCGAATATTACCTCATTTAAAAACATTATGGTGCATTTTCATGTATGATGTACTTTGTTGGAAGAAATTGAAGTGCAAAATAAAGGAAAAAAACTGAGTTTGGTCATTTTGAATGAGTTGTCATTTTTGCATGTATTAACTAACTAACTAACTAAATAAGTGCTTTATTTTATTTTTATTTTACTTGAGTATTCCCATTTTTAATGAACTGTCATTTTTGCATGTAATAAATAAATAAATAAAGCGGGCAAGCACTTGAAAGTGCTTAGTATTTTTTATTTTTTGTACTTATTTTAATTTGACAGTTTTTAATGAATTATTTTTGCATGCATTAAATAAATAAAATGAAGCACTGTCTGGTTTTTAATTTATGATTTGCACATTGCATTTTGTAATGCTCTTTTTTTTTTTATTTGCAAATAAATAACTGGACAGTGCTTAGTATTTATTTATTTAATTTCACTTATTTATTTTAATTTGACCATTTTGAATGAATTGTAATTTTTGCATGCATTCAATAAATAAATAAAAATAAGCACCGTCTGGTTAATTTATGATTTGCACATTGCCATTTGTAATGTTCAATACGTTTATTTTATTTTAGTTTTTTATTTGCGCAAGAATAAATAAATAAAGTACGCAAGCACTGGACAGTGCTTAGTATTTTTTATTATTATTTTATTTTACTTTACTTACTTTAATTCTATCATTCTTAACGAATTGTAATTTTAGCATGCATTAAATAAAATAAATTTAAAAAGCACAATTTTTTAAATTTATGATTTGCACATTTCCATTTGTAATGGTCAATATGATTCTTTTATTTTTTGCCTAAATACATAAATATTGCTTTATTTAATTTATTGATTTTATTTGTCATGTTTAAGTTCAGATATTCTTTAAAAAGAGAGAGAGAGAGAGAGAGAGAGAAGGCCCTCTCTCTGATGAAACCCTGCAGTTTATTTGTGACTCAAATAAGGAATATAAAAATAAACCTCTACTTTCATGTTTTAAAAACAGAAATATCAAACATCACATTTTTCCCATCCGTGCACGACCCAGATTCACATGGAGGGCCAAATTACTCCAAATTAAATCATTAAATAAATGTTGAAATATATATATAAATAAATCGTTAAATACTTAATTGAATAATTAAATGGATAAATAAATACATGATTAAATATTCATTAATTTATACGAGCCGAGAACCGTAACCCTGAAAATGAAATGTGGAGGAAATACATAAATATTAAATATATAAATGAATGCATGAATGAATAAATAAATAATTATATATAAATGGATGGCTTAATGATTTATGCATTTATTGATATATTTAATTATGTATTTAAAGATTTATTTATATATGTCAACATGTATTTGGAGTAATGTGGCCCTCCATAGCATGCAATGTCTGTCCGCGGGCGCGCGCCACATGCACGAGCGCTCACCTGCAGCGCGCTCCCGTTCACAGCCGTGCTGCCCGGTTACAGCGCGGAGCGCGCATCAAACCCGCACGCGCCGCGCTCGTTTAAGGGCGGATCGGGATTTTTTTTGACGCGTTTGACCGGGATTCTCCTGCTCGTCCAGGTTGGCGTTACGCGGTCATTTACCGGAATAATTCCGCGTTTCGCGGCATAAACGCCGGGCGCTTTTGTGTTGATGCAAATGATGCGCCCGGTAAACGCGCGGCGGGGAGAGCGGCGCGTCCGTCGCTCGCGCTGATGACAATAGCGCACTCCAGCGACCAGAGCGCGCGATAGAAACAGAAAGAAGGAACGTTTACCGGGAAGGACAATGTCTCTCAGCAGAAGCATCGAGCTCGAGCACTTCGACGAGCGGGACAAGGCGCGGCGCTCCAAACGCGCTGCCGCCGCCGGCGGTCCGGGCTCTCGCGCGAGCAGTCTGGTCCCGAGCCCCGCGCACAGCGCCAACTGCAGCTTCTACCGCACGCGCACGCTGCAGGCGCTCAGCTCCGAGAAGCGCGCCAAGAAGGTCCGCTTCTACCGGAACGGAGACCGGTACTTCAAGGGTCTGGTGTACGCGGTGTCCGGCGACCGCTTCCGATCCCTGGACGCGCTGCTGGCCGAGCTGACGCGCGCGCTCGCCGACAGCCTGCACCTGCCGCAAGGTGTGCGCAACATCTACAGCGCGGACGGCGCGAGGAAGATCGCGAGCCTCGAGGACCTCGAGGAAGGTCAGGCATTCACGGAAACATCCGCTACATCACGGAGACGTTTATCTGACGTCTCCAAGACGTTTGTTTAGAGTGTTGCTCATCTGCAATACGTGTACGGGACGTTTCCTATCAGATGTCTTTAAGATGTTTATGATTTAGAATGACATCTTACTGACGTCTGTCAGATGTTTGTAGCAGCAGATGCTTTCCAGATCAAGCGATCTTTAACAGACATCATCTGAATTATGACCGAATAAGAAGGTGAAGGGTTGCAGGTTCGAAGCCCTTTAATGGTCCATAGAGGTTCAAGGTTCCTCACTTTATATTACATACATGAGGTGTAGCGAAATATTATTATACTAATAATATACAGGTGCATCTCAATAAATTAGAATGTCGTGGAAAAGTTCATTTATTTCAGTACTTCAACTCAAATTGTGAAACTCGTGTATTAAATAAATTCAATGCACACAGACTGAAGTAGTTTAAGTCTTTGGTTCTTTTAATTGTGATGATTTTGGCTCACATTGAACAAAAACCCACCAATTCACTATCTCAACAAATTAGAATATGATGACATGCCAATCAGCTAATCAACTCAAAACACCTGCAAAGGTGTGTGCATTGAATTTATTTAATACACGAGTTTCACAATTTGAGTTGAATTACTGAAATAAATGAACTTTTCCACGACATTCTAATTTATTGAGATGCACCTGTATTATCCGTATTATTATATATACACAACATATTATGGCATATTATTATTTGTAATATAATACAATGCTACGTTTTAATACATCAATATTACAAATTATTCAAGCAAATAAAATGTAATGTTATCGTTACATTATATGTAGGGTTGGGAATCGAAAATCAATTCCAATTTCAGAATCGGATACTTGTTGTAAAATTCAAATATCAATTCCTGTGTGTGCGCATCTTTTATTTTTAGCTGGCGAAAAGGGGCTGTTAAAAATGTATTTTTCTTTGAATCATTCATTCAAGAGATTCGTTCAAAAGCACCGATTCATCCAGGAATGAATCGAGTGAATCTTGAGTGAGTCATTGAATCATTCCATTCATAGGTTCCATCAGATTTTGTTTAGTTGTCTAATATCTTTTCTTCAGAATTGTGAGAGAACTACAATCGTGCAGCTCTATTTTGCACACAAACAGCTCTTAATCGAGTCCAGTTTTTATGAAGCCTGCTGATTTTTGTTCATGGTATTCAGCAGCAATTAAATGTTTTGCAAAAAGAGACAGAATTAATATGTTTGATATCTAAATGTTTGACTTCATTTTTTTTTTACCACATTGGAATCGAAACTGGGAATCGATAAGAATCAGAATTGGAATTGATCAAATTCAAACGACACCCAACCCTAATTATATGTAATATTAATATAATAATCATGTAATATTAATATTACATTATTTATTTATTTATTAAACCTTTATTTAGCCAGGAGAATTCCACCTGATATTATGTTTGTAGAATAAACAAAATATTTATTAATATTAATATAAAATTATAATATATATCAA